AGCCACAAAGTCCGCCGCGTTCCCATTGTCCGTTGCGATGACCTCCCCTGGACCGGAGATCGAGAACTGTATCTCGTTATTCGCCCGTGGTGCCACAAGTCCTTTGTCGTCCGTCACTTCAAGGGCGATGAATGCTAAATCCTCACCATCAGCTCTGATGATCCCTCGATCCGCCGTTAATCTCAACCTCGACGGCTTTCGTGCAGTCGTGACAGTATTGTTGGCCCATTCCTCCCCATTCCTAAAAGTGACAACATGCAGCTCCCCAGGTTCATAAACGACATCATCCCATCTGAACCGATAATCATACTCATTTCTTATTCGACGACCCTGAGAGTGGCCATTGAGAAACAGCTCTGCTTCATCAGCCTCGGAGAATACATGCACGGGCGTCACCTCACCCACACGCTCAGGCCAAGTCCAGTGAGGCATAATGTGAGCAATGCGCTCATTAGGTCGCCAGCGAGTCTGATACAGCCAGAACCGATCCTTCTTGAATCCCGCCAGATCCACAATGCCAGAGTATGAACTCCTCGCAGAGTAATAAGGCGTCGGCTCACCGATGTAGTCAAACCCCGTCCAGACAAACTCCCCAGCGACGTACGGGTTACGGTCCTGCTCTGCAAAGACCTTGTCGGGGGATGAACCGAAGGGCGCAGAGTAGAGCTCGTAGGCGCTGACCTGTTGGAGAGTCGAGTTGCCGCCTGAGGTGTCGTTTACGGGCGCGCTGCTGTAATTTGTGACGGGGAACAGGTGGACACCGCGAGAGCTGAGTGTGGATGCTGTCTCGGAGCCAAGGACGAGCCCGTCTGGGTACGCTTTGTGATAGTCGGGGTAGAGGGGGTGGGTATGTATGCCTTGGAGATTGGAGTACGCTTCTGTGTTTCTGATTCCGGCGCCTTGGTAGTTGATGTTGAGAATGTCGAGGACCTGGGGGAAGGGCATGCCGGGTGTTGCGTAGTTCTCTGATGCTGATGATGGTCTTGTAGAATCTTCTTCCCTTAATATGCCCTGAAGCATCTTTGATACTGCGGCTCCTTCTTCGGCGGTGTATTGCTCGCCAACTTCGTTCCCGTAGCTCCACGAGATGATTGAAGGATGATTCCTGTCACGTCTTATGAAAGCTCGGAGGTCTGGCTCATGCCAGTCGGGAAATAGCAAGTGAAAACCAGCGGCGGTCTTGTTGCGTTCCCAAGCGTCAAAGATCTCGTCTATGACCAGGAATCCCATCTTGTCTGTGAGGTCAAGAAGCTCAACTGCAGGTGGGTTGTGAGACATCCGGATAGAATTGCAGCCCATGTCCTTTAGGATTTCCAACTGTCGCTCGGCAGCTCGGACGTTGAACGCCATGCCTAGAGCGCCTAGGTCGGAGTGCTGGTTGACGCATTGGATGGGCACCTTTTCACCATTAACGAATACGCCTTTATTTGAGTTGAATTCAAAGGATCGGATCCCGAATTGAGTTTTGTACTCGTCGATGACCTCATTATTGACGTTGAGCCTGGTAACTGCAACGTAGAGATTGGGCTTCTGAGATGGCGGCGGGCCCCAAAGACGAGGGTTGGTGATGGTTGTGGAACTGTTGAGGCGGGTGGAATCCGACGGAGATAGGTGAATCGTCTTGGATAGGAATGTTCCAACTTTTTCCCCAGGGTTTCCAGTTTCCGGATCGAATGTGAAAATATCCGTCTCTACTGTGATTGCTCTCCTGTTTCCCGCCTTGTTCTGAACCTGAACGGAAAGATCAAGTATCGCGGACTTTTTGGAGACATCCCGAGTAGTGATGTATGTCCCCCATTGAGATACCTGCGTCGGGTCGCCAACAGTAAGCCAAACGCTTCTGTAAAGCCCAGCACCAGGATACCATCTGGACGAATCTGGGGCGTTGTCAAGCCGAATAGCCAGTTGGTTCTCACCGTATTCCATGAAGGGCGTAAGGTCAAGACGGAAAGAGTTGTACCCATACGGCCATACACCGACGAGATGCCCATTCAGCCACACCATAGCATAAGACATGGCGCCGTCGATGTCAAGGTGGATTCGTTTGCCTCGAAGTGAGCGGGAAATGTCCAATTTGCGGCGGTACCAGCCTACTCCATGAACAGGCAAACGTCCCATGCCTCCACTAATGACAGGGTTTTCCCCTTCATAAAAAGGGCCGCTGATGGCCCAGTCATGAGGCAGATTGACGCTCTCCCAGTCGTCATCTTGGTACGTGCTTTGAACAAACGGGATATCAATTTCCGGATCTCCGTCTGGACGTTTGTGATGACGACTCTTGTCCATGATGAATTCATTTCCAGAGGGGAGAATCCAAGGTTTAAGGACCGTGGCGTTTTCGATCTGGTTTGGGAGATGGTCGTAGATAACTCCATCTGGATTGGGGACCGATCGCCAGAACCGCCATCCTTTGTTAAGGTTGATGCGTTGGCGAGGGACCGAGGTTGCTTGAGTGTCTGTAATGAGGACTGTGAACAAGAGCCCGAGCAGAGAACCCGGGTATACCATAATGGAGGTGGTTTCGCGGATGACTGAACTACTTGGAAGTTGGTGGCCATTGGCAAGTTTCCGTCCTATGTACGGGAATTCGACTAGCTGAAAATAAAGTGTCCATCTTCAGCCATCTCGTATCATTGGGGCAATTAGGCTAAAGATGGTGAGGGGTAAGTTATAGATCAGGGCATTGTCGGGAACGGCTACGATCTCCTTAACAGCCGACTCCCCACGGGGTCAATGTCGATCTCTGGATCATCGCGAGACAATGGCACCATCCGCTTCTCAAAAGAGCTAATGCCAAAGGTCGTCACAGCCAAGTCATTCAGGCTAAGTCTCAGTATCCAACTGCCGTACCTGCCATCCCGGAACTTATCCATCTGAGGTAGCAACGAGGCGGATACTATAGCCTAAAATATCCAATTGACCTCCGCTCGCCCGGGTTATACCTGGTTTGGTGAATCTCCTCTTTCAAGGTCATGGATGCTACACTGGAACGAGTCTTGAGAGTTCTGAGGCAGACCGGACTCTGTTAGGGCACCTCGAAATCGCAGTGGTTGAGCATTGAGTCATCGAAACTAGCGAGCTAGCTCTACGCGTCTTGCCCTTCAATGGCAGGATGCTTCCACAACTCAAAAGAACATGGTTAAGTCATCGAAACACTGTGTCTTGGGTACAATGAACGAGAGCCGACTTAGAATTACCGTTCAAAAATATGGACCGGAAATCGAGAACCCATCTCCCGGTACGCATCAACATTCGGATGCAAATGGTCCCCTGAATCAAACTCGGGGCGCAACTTATCCCCGTCTCCAATAACCGACGCAAAGTCAACGGTATAGTCAAACGTCCCATTGTTCAGAATCCAGTCGTTTACCTCTAACCTCGTCTCCTCCCTCCTCGAATCCCCATACTGGCTTCCAGTAAAGGGCGTGATTGTCGCGCCAATGGTCTGCATATTCGCCTTCTTGCAGGCTGCGACTATCTCCGCGTAGGCATTTATAAGACGCTCGGTGAGCTGCCGCTGCGTGAGGTCGTCCGTGGGAGAAGTCCCAATGTCGTTGACGCCTTCGAACACGAGGACGTACCTTGCGCCGTTTTGCTGCAGGGCGTCGCGGTGGTAGCGCTGGAGGAGAGGGGGGCCGAGGCCGCCACTGAGAACGGCGTTTCCGCCTGCGGCCTGGTTGTTTACGGCGATGTGCGTCTTTTTTGATGCCTGCAGACGGGCTGCGAGGAAATCGGACCACCTAGGAGTAGTCAGTGTGATGACATCTTTGATAATTTCGGACATGATGCTTCAAGGCCTACCGGTTGTTCCGATCATCCTCACTTCCACGCCCATCAGTGATACTGTCTCCCAAAAGGACGACTGAATAGTGATTCCTTGGTGCCCAGGTCTCAACTGCGCTTACAAAATACCAGTGTCGAGTACTGGCCTCGGAGACGGAAGATGCGTTGACAAGATTACCGGTCCCCATCCATGACGTCGTTCTACTGCCAGGATGGCCGGTGATCTTGTAACCCAGTTGCCCATCTTCAAGATATATCGACAGAGCAAGATTTGATAGAGGCGGAAGTCTGAAATGGACGGGGTCGGAGTCGACAAATTCCCCTGGGCTGATAGTTGTGGACGCGGAACCCTCAAACGTCAGGCATCTCGTGGTGGATTCGTCGATCTCTCCAACACCGGCATTTCCGTTGAGTGGAAGAGCAACCGATGCTGCCGTAATGGGTAAGGAAGTTTTGCCAAATACGTTAGAGATTCGAATACGGATGCGTTCAGCCCGGATGGAAGTTCGGAGAGTCTGGCGTATAGTGCTGTTGTGGAACTGGTATGGAACATCTTCTCCTCCCTATTTGATACTTGAGTCAAGGCGTTTGATATGGAATGCACACAATCAAATACTCACAAACGGGGGCGGGGCTAGATTACCGATCTCGACCTCCTGAGGCATCGATGTCCATGTCCCTACCCAGTGTCCTCCTTTGCCTCGAGATGCGACAGTGATGCCTAGCATCCAAGCTGTAAGCAGAAACCTCACCATAAAGAGTTTCGTCATGCTTCTCTTCCCGTTGGGCTCGTGAATCGAAATATCAGGTTGCGGAATCTGGATCAGGCAGGGAAAAGAAAAGTAGCCACTATAGAGTCTCGGATATTTTAGCTCCTCATGGCACGATAATATCCCAATGTTTGAATATTAAACCCCAAATATTAATAGGCGGCCATTTTAGCCGGGAATCCCGGATGATACTCTCAAGTCGATCACCTTCTCCATGGAGCCACCAACCCATAGCACTTTTCCTTCTGGACCTAGGTACTTAAATCCCCTTGGCTTATATTTGCCCACGAATCAATCGTCTTGTCGGAGTCTAGGGTCCACCTTGTTCCGGCTAATTGAAGCGACCTTCTCCGCATTGTTGTTGACGTCGGTTGAACGGCCGAATCTTGTGATCTTGCAGCATCTCCAACCCCCTCCAGTAAGCCATGCCGTCAGACTCTGAGTGCTCTACACTCTAACAACAGCATTTTCCTTAAACACGCCGTCAAGTCGAGGGATATCCGGAGACTGCTCCCCAGAATCAAGCAGCACAAAATTCCAGCCCGTATTTGTAGCCCCAACAATATCCTTCTTGTATTCATCACCGACATACACCCTCCTCCATGTCTCAATATCCACCTTAACCTCAGTCGGGCTTTTCCCCTCCTGGATAGTAATGGCCTGCGCCAGCATGAGCTCGGCAGCCTCGAACATGAGCGTATCCGGCTTCTCGACGCCGACATCATATGACATGCAGTAGAACTCGATGTCATGGTGGTCCCTGGGAAGGACCTGATCCTTGATGGGAGGTGTAAAGGAATTGTTGCTAACCTGGTCCGCAGTCAACCAACCAGGACCACATCAAGATGACTTTTAGAGCCACACATTTGTCCACCATTTAGTCGCCCCTAGGCTTGTCACCCTTCCATAGTTTGGATTCTGCCTCGACTCGCTCTTGACTGCCGCCAGAAGGAAGGATTGCAGCTCATCGAGAGTGAATCTCGCAAGGCCGCATTGCCGAGCAACTTCGGCGTACTATATCGCCACAGTGCTCGCGGGTTTAAATAGGATAAGATCACTGGTGCAATGGGTCAAGATTTGCACATATGTCAGAAGTTGGCCTTGGAGGGTTGCGGCTAACGGGGTTCTAGTATGAGGCACAAATAAGGCTAATTTTATGTGCCAGCATCTCCCTTCTGGAAACGAGGTTCAACCCCAGCTCATGATCAGGGGTTTAAAGTGGGCGTTCTTCCATGCTACATCGTTTTCGAGCCGCATTGTTCGACGGCACCAAAAGTACGCGGAATCGTCGGGCTCTCCGTCAGTTCTCCATTTCCCAAAATAAATCTTCGTGTTTGACCGAGCTAAGCAGGGGTTTCCTTGATGTTACGGTTTCAAACCTTCGTATCCCGCGTCCTGATGATTTTAAAGCTCCTTTTTCCCCTAACGTTGCCAAGGTAAACTAGTACAATTAGGGTATCAACTGCCGAACCTAGCGTCCATTGGCGACATTGGGTTATCAACATGGTTCATGTCCATATAAGACGACATGGAAACCCAACATCGAATTTCGAGAACACTGAGCATTCCGAGTGAGTTCCACAGACGCTCATCATGTTATCCAAGGCTTCTCTGCTATCACTGCTATTGCCTGCTGCAGCGTCAACTCGAGTTTGTCAATTGTCAGCAAACAATCAGACTCAGCCTACCAACCAGACACGCCCAATCGATCCGAGCGCGCCTACGAACGGGACCGGATCTACCAACGGAACAATCCCCGAAGATGACACTCCTTGGGTTCCGACATGCAAACTACCCAGAAATGACTTCGCCTGGTTGGGCGTTGGACATGGTTTTATGGGCGACTGTGTTCACAGCAAGGGTACAATCCAGGGTCATATGATATTTGTCGACTTTTCCGACGCAGAGGCCCTCGAAGGGGAATCTCCTCAAGACGCCTACGATCTGTTGGTTCCCGACGCAAACAAGTGGTATCAGGAGATCAGCCATGGCCAGCTTGACCTCAACATCACCGCCGATACTTCCAAGTTTCACCGCATGCCGAACTCCGCAGAGTCATACGGTTGGGACTCGGGTTTAAGTAACCAGCAACAGTACGCCTACGTTGTGGACGCTTTGGACGCATACATGAGCGACGGCGAGAATCCACCGCCTCCAGTCACAGATATCCTCTACGTTGTACCCACACGCAATGCGGCCTGGATGAGTCGCTCATTGGCCTCGTCCTTCGGCGCCTTCACAAGAAACAACACATTCGTATCCAAAAGGGCCATTACCTTCGGCGTTGATCCGTATAACTCCTGGGGCTACAAGGCGCTCAACCACGAAACTGGCCACGCCATGTGTCTACCCGACTTGTACCCCCTGGATATCAACTTTCCAACTGGTGAATACGTGGGGGGCTATAGTGTCATGGGCAACGTCGGAGGAATTGCGCCCGATTTCTTCGCCTGGGATAAGTGGAGGCTGGGATGGTTGGCCGACGAGGATATCGACTGTATTCTCGAACATGGTACTACCAGACATACTCTCACACCGCTAGAGACTCAGGGGGGTATCAAAGCTGTGGTGGTAGCAGCTAACAAGACTTCTGCTCTTGTTGCTGAAGCTCGCACCGCCAAGGGCGCAGATGAAAAGATCTGTGCCCCTGGTGTCCTCCTGTACACGATCGACACCACCCGTTCAACAGGAGAGGGACCGATTCGCGTTCTTGATGCCACACCTGGATCAGACAGTTGCGGTAGCGAAGTCAGTGGGTGGGAGCCCAAGAATGATGCAACTCTGTCTGTGAGTGGCACAAAATCCTATGAAGTGTCTGGATGGGGTATCAAGGTTACTCTAATTGATGACAGGGATAATGAGTTTAAGATTGAAGTAGAGTACCTATAGAGTAACACAAAGAACGTTGTGTTTTCAACATTAAATATTATAGGGTTTTTTACCTATTAACGTCGGACACCCCACAACGGACCGCCCCCTATAACCGACTACCCTTTTATACTAAAAAAGCCGATTTTTAGATATTTATAATTAAATAACTAAAATAGCTATAAAAAAGATATAAGATTTAAGATAATAAAAATCTATAGTATTATAAAAATTAATAAGATATTTTTTAAAAGTTTTTAAAAAATCTATTTAATTTATTAAGATTATTTTAAGTTTAGAAAAATCATTTATATAGGAATTACTAGTAAATTTTAAAATTCTATAATTAATTAAAGAAGAGTAATATTAACAGTGTTTTTTAAATTTTAGCTTTATTAGCTATTTAATAATATAAAATAAAGTTTTTAGATTTTTAATTACTTATATAAGCTTAATAAATAAGTTTAAAGAAATCTAAGTTTAAATTATAAGAGAATCTTAAATATCTTATTTATATAATAAAGTAAAAAAATAAATAAAAATAATTTCAAGATTTTTAATTTTTATTAGATTTAATTAAAATATTATTTTTAATTTTACCTTTATTTTATAAGTTTTATTAATAAATTAAATTTTTTATATAAAAAACTTTAAAAAATTCTAATTAATTTAAAACTAGAAAGTAATAAATAAAATTATTTTTATTATATAAAATTATTTTTTATATAGTTTTATCTACCTATTATATAATCTTAGCTATTTTTATTAATTATTTATAAAAGTATAAAAATTAGCTTTTTTAGTATACAAGGGTGGTCGGTTCTAGGGGGCGGTCGGTTATGGGGTGTCCGATGTTAATAGACGTAAGACGTCACACAGTCCCGTGCGTGCCCCTCTCTCGATCTTCTAGCTCCATTAACCCATCAAGGGCCGGACGCCAACTATAATGAAGGACATATTGCCAACACATCGAAGCATCCTGTTGACTTCACGAAAGACCAAATGCTACTGTATGAAGACATTAAGACCCAAATAATTGCTCAGGTTGATGAAACACTACTCTGCTCAGGAGAACCGTGGCGGTCTGGCACCTTTTTTAATGTCCTGCGGAAAATCGGAGCATTGCACATGGCATGGTGCGCGATCTTGGATTCCAGCGACCTTTGGGCTCGATCTTCGGGCTCAGTTAACCCATCGAGGGCCGGGCTGCAACTATAATAAAGAACAGATCTTCAACACATCATAACATCATGACCCGATGTTAACGCGGTGGATCCAAGCGGTTTCGGGGATCGAAAGTCTCGCAGTAAGAGGATCGAAAAAGAGAATCAGCCACAACAACAACAACAACAACAACAACAGGGCCAAGTATCAATACATCACGGCATTAAACCCCAATAATGTAGAACACTCTAATTTTATAAGCGCCTTAATTACTTTATTAAATCCATTATATTCCCCAAAGGCGAGCCAAGAGAATAATACCTCCTAACCTATTATCACTTTTGTGCGTATGTAGGGTACGGTGTTTTATCGAAGCAAACATGATCTGATTATTTTGTTGCCATGAAACCCAACAACTTCATAATTCCACATCCGTCATCACAAGTTTGCCGAAACATGAGTCTTTGCTACCATTGTCATTGCATGCCAAGGATTTCATTTCGATGTACCACATCTCCTTGTGATATCTTGAGCTCAACAGCCCGGGCTCCATCGACATGCCTGCACTTGAGTCTGTACACTTCAGGATCGGGTCTAGGCTGATTTAGACTTGATCGTGAGGTGTGGCTGGACTGAAGTCAGTTATCCTGGAGTAGTATGTTGTTATGAAGATGCGGAAGAGCCAAGTGATGACGGCCCAGATGCACAGATGCACAGATGGGCGTGGGTGATCGCAAGGATTTGGACAGAGCTTTTGGGAAGGATCTTTACGATTACGTTCCGTATTCTAGGGACCTCGAGATATTACGGGGATGATGAAATGGGGAAGGACGACGAAGACGAAGAGACGAGGACGTGAAGAGGACGAGGAGGTAGAATATAATGATGAAACTAATAAGTGGGAGAACAGTAGCCATGATGACAAGAAAAAAGAGGAAGAGAATGAAGGAGCAAGGAGGAAGATGACGACGAGAACAACAAAGGCGATGTGAAGAAGGAAATCATATCCAACATACTGACAAGGCCAATTGCTTCGAAGCATGTTCAGCAAAGATACATGTTTGATAGACAGATGCGTGATCTTGTCTAGAACTCTCTTGTGGTCAAGATGGACAATGGTCGGACGAGTTATCTGTCATATTTTTAATGCGTATTGCTATGCCTTCCAAGCTCACCACATCACAAATACCCATGACTCTCTCATATTGTGCGTATAACACAAGGAAGAATAAGCCTAGAATAGTTTTTTATTCTCCATCTAGCGGATTCCTATCGATATGGGATTACTCTTTGCTTCTTGGCCCACACCCAACCCAGTACTACTCTGTTGGTCGTCAACCCCTGCGTGCATGGGCTCAATGCTACGCTCGCCAATAATCAACATGGCCTCTATACAGGATGGAGCGGCGCCGGCAGAATGCATAATGCCGACGACATTACCCCGCCCGAAGATCGCCTTGCTTCAACTGTTTTCTTTTGGGCATCTGTCGGGCCATTTCTTTCCCTAATCAAGGCATCGTCTCTTCTCTACCTACCAAATATCGCCCACCATGTGCCAGGATAATCAAGCCGTCATTGAGCCAGATACTCACGACGACGGCGATTCAGCAATCACCCCGGACACTCTTTCATCTACAGCGTCGCTCACCGCTTCTATTCTGGAATACCGGACCATCCACGGGCGCACTTTTCACAGTCAAAGGGGTCCAGGAAATGCCGAGTATTGGGCACCTAACGATGATCAACACAACACCAGTATGGACATCCAGCATCATGTCTGGACTCTGCTTCTTGACGGGAAGCTCCATCTTGCGCCGCTCCCTGGCCAGGTTGGCAAGGTTCTCGATGTTGGTACTGGGACTGGCATCTGGGCCATTGACTTTGCCGATGAACATCCAGAGGCGGTTGTAGTCGGCGTCGACTTGTCACCCACTCAGCCGGACTGGGTCCCGCCCAACTGCAGGTTCGAGATTGACGATGTATCTCTCCGCTGGACGTGGCCGGAAAACGAGTTTGACTTTGTGTATCTTCGGACCATGTTTGGCAGCTTCAAGGACTGGCAGCACGTCTTCAACGAAGCCTACCGAGTCTGCAAACCCGGTGGATACGTCGAAGATTTCGAGGCCAGCTCTGACCTGATATCTGACGACGGGACTGTCACGCGTGACAATGGTACCGCTCTTGGACAATGGGGAAGGCTGTTCCATGAGGCCGGCTGGAAGACGGGCCGCAGTATGGCTATTTTTGAAGAAGACACACAGCTCAATTGTATGAAGGAAGCAGGATTTGTGGACATTGTGGTCAAAGATATCAAGTGTCCGCTGGGCCAATGGCCAAAAGACCCACGGCAAAAGGAGATTGGTTCTTATGACCAAGCTGCTGTTGAAGAGGGTCTAGAGGGTATGTCGAGCTCTAATCACATGCATTTTACTGAGTTTAGTGCTGATTCTTTCTGGCTCAGGCTACGTCGTTTATATGTTTACTGATATCCTGGGCTGGTCCATGGACGAGGTTCAAGTATACCTGTCCAAGGTTCGGAAGGAGTTAAGGGACAAGAGGTATCATACCTACTTTTGGACGCGAACTGTATATGGCAGGAAGCCCGCTATAGGAGAGACTTCAGGGCAGTAAGGATTATAAAGGCTATAGCTCAAGTCTAATGCAACTCGGGCTGGTTTGACAGATAAGCGACATAAGGGAGACAACAAAAAGTCATTGAGGCCAGCTGAGAAAGAACACCAAAGGTGAAAGCAAAGCTAGTTCAGCAAGTGCTATTCCTGGTCCCCCACCCAAACCCCGCCGCCGGAAGACCCAAGGCCACCAGGTCGAAGATGAAACATGTTGTTTTGTGTTGGAGTCTGTTGCATAGGGGGAGAATACACTAAAAAGGAAAGAAAGGCAACTGTGTTAGAGTTGCGGTATTATTATGATGTATACATCCAATGCTATGTGATAACCGAGCCAGAAGACAGACAGAGATGTTGCCACTTTGAGCATGAGCATGACCGCCAACTACCACTTTACAAGGTGCTGCTAGCAGGTTAAGTGTACGTGCTTTGTATTCATAGTGTCTATGGCTTATTCTCTAGCCCTCATGTTCTGGCATCTTCCAGTAATTCTCCATAAGCATCAATTCTTGACAAGAACTGTGTCTTGGTCTTTTCCGGAAGAAAACTCGCCGTGATCGAATTCCGAGCCAACCCCCGCATCGCCTCAAGATCTAGGGAGAACACATCGCTAGCTAGGACGTACTCATCTAGGCATGTAGAACCAAACATGGCTGGGTCATCTGAATTGAGTATACAGAACATACCCTTCTCCAGGTACTTCGGTAGCGGATGAACCTCAACTGAGGGGCAACAGCCAGTCAAGATATTGGAGGTGATATTGATCTCCACTGGAAGATTCTGCTTGGAGAGAAAGTGCATGAGGCTCTCATCATGCTGTGCAGCCAAGCCATGACCGATTCTCTCTACTCCCATCTTCAGTGCAGTGCGGATCTGCGATGGTCCCCGTTCAGGGCCTGTGGCCTCTCCCACATGAGCCGTGAGCCGCAGACCCGCCTTCTTGGCGTCAGCGTAGACTTGCTCAAACCATTCAACAGGTCCACCGACTTCATCACCACCTAAACCAATTCCAACGATAGTAGGAAAGCGCTCCTTGAGCTTTCCCGCCAGTCCAAAGACTTGGCCAGCCTCTTGAACACTCCAGGCCCGATTTGCGTCTGCGATCCAGAAAATAGACGGACCTCCAAGGTCGCGGAGAACTTCAGTCCTCGCAAGCTCAATTGCAGCCATGACATCTTCTATGTCAAGGTGAGGCTTCCGATGCAGGATGTTCCCCCATGAAATGTAGACTTCGGCGTGGACAACGCCCTGGTCATGCAGGTTCCGCATCATCTCTTTGACAATCAGGGCATAGTCCTCTGGTGTCTGAAGACGGTCAAGAACAAGCCGGAATGTATGTAGAAAGTGCACAAAGTCTCTGTAGGCGTACAACTCGCGGGCTTGCTGTAGAGTAAGCGGTGTCGAGTCATGGCGTACTGATAATGTGATTAGGGTCTCGGGCGTGACGGTGCCTTCGAGGTGGAGGTGAAGCTCGGCTTTGGGCAAGCCTTGCAACCAGGATCGCTTGGAGATGGTCATGACGATATTCTATAGGGCATTCGCTGGCGTTGGATAAAGGGCTGCTATGCTGGTAACGTTTTTTTTTCAGTGGCCGAAGTCATGAGTAGTTGCGTAATCCATTATGAGAATTGCGCCATTTGTCGACAATACAATGACTCATGTTTCAGGACTTATCTTATCCTTGCCGCGCAAGGCCAACATATCCCCACTGGTGTTCGTTAGTGTATCTGCTTACCTGCACGATACAAGAGTTTCCAAGTGAGCTCCTGACCACCAAGGTTAAGAAGTCTAAGAAGGTTTCAAAACTATCACGGATGCTATTAAGCAAACAGCGCAAGGTGCAGGTGTTGACACAGGGAAGCATCAAACTTCACTCTCTGTCGTAATATGTCCCCCCTCCCCCCAAGCGTGTGGTCACCATTGAGAAGGCAGTCATTCACTAACATCCACTTTGCACTTCATGCATCAACTTTGAAACAGTTGACGATGAAACGCATGGATCACTTCAACACTATGGAGAAATTAAGCAAGGAAATACTTTTCGCATCGTCCATAGCAGAGAGGCTTCTTCCAACCAATTGTGAATTCTTGTGAATTTTATCATTGCAAGTACCGGGTAGCGTGAGAATTAGGCAGGTTGCAGGTTGGCGAGGTGTCACGTGCCCAAATTGCCCTGCCAACCAGTGACTGACTATTGACTGCCCCGCGTCACATCACACGTCACGATCAACCCTTTAACCTCCATCAAATTCACATCCTCAATCAATCTACGAGCAGGTGCTACGCTTCTCTTCAACTCTCCCCATCCAAAAATGCGCCAGAGCCCAGTCTTGGAGTGGCTGGACACCCTCGAACTCCCCTCTGGTGGCTACAGCCTCGCACCAGCCCACGAAACCATCGAGCGAAGAGCGAAACGAGCCAAGATCAGTCACGAGCCCTACACGTCTCGATTGCCAACTCCGACCGAGTCAGAGACGCAAACCTTTGGCCTTGCTCGTAACGATCGACGCGTGCGCACCATGGAATCGCCGGCATCATCATCATCATCAAAGAAGCGACGTCGCCACGAGGAGAGTGACATGGCCAGCCAGCACGAGCTTTCAGATGGCATCGCTGGCAACCCTCTCGACTTGACACCCCGAGCGAGCCAACTTGGTGGCCGGTTGTTTCGAGATCAATACCACGTTGAAGAACCTGATGTGACGTCCAACCTGTCTCGCGCCTCGTCGTCCATATCGCATCACTCGTCAGCATCTCAGCGTTCTTCTGTATCGGGTCAATCTTCACCATCCAAGCAGGCCCGGAACGCCGAGTTGCAGAAGACTGGCTTTAGACCCGTCAGTTTTTCTCTTCAACAAGATCAGCAGCCACTTTCCCTCAAGGCCATCTGTCGAGGGCTCACGAGCATCAGCCATGGAGAAAAGATGTTCCCGGACGCTTTGCGGGGTCAGGTGAGCAGGATATTTCCAATGATGTGCAACTTTGACTCTGACCATGTGACAGCTCGCCGACACCGACATTCCAGACTCTTCATTCTACAGTACCAATGATGCACCACGAAAAGGATGGGACCATCCACCTCCAGCCCTCGTCCAAGATACCCTCGAACGAGCAGCCCAGTGTTTGGATGAACGGGAAGGAGAATCTTCTTGGAACCTCGAGGTTCATGCGCCTCTTCTTGCCTGGGTCTTCCGCCGAGAAAGCCAAAAACCTCTCATAGACTATAGATATTGGTATACCGGTCTCGATCCCCCATGACCAAACCAATCGCTGACACTCATCAGCACTTCAGCCCAGATCATACATGCATTCAAACCAAAGAATGCTCCCTCGAAAATGGTCGACTTTTGCATCATCGTCCGCCCCGGCGACGATACTGACGAGCAAGACATGATTGAGAACCTCTGCTACAGCAGACCTGGGCAGACGATAAACCATACCGGCTGGGGCAACCTCTGCAAAAACCCAGTCGCCATGTCCATCGAGACGAAACGGCATGGCGAGAACTGGGACACTGCCGTGTTGCAGCTGGGTACTTGGCACTCTGCGCAATGGCGAAGCTTGAACTGGGGGAGAAGCAAGCGGGTTTCCATCGACTTTTTGCCAGGCATCATTATTCAAGGGCATGACTGGCTCTTTGTGGCAACCATTATGAAAAACGACAAGGCCATCATGTACCACTCCATCTCAATTGGCGACACCAAGACAGTTCTTGGCATCTACAAGCTTGTCATCTCTCTGCAGTATTTGCAGCAATGGATCGAGCAAACCTACTGGCCTGCATTTCGCGCCGAGGTTTTAGGGATGGACGAGCAGGTAAATAGTACTATTTAGACGGTTCTTTACGAGTTTATGACTGTATGATAATGATAGAGTACTAGCGAATAGCCAACAGATATGTTCATGTCCCCAGAGTCATGCCCCCAAATGTCGGCGTGACAACCTCGATGCAAGTGCGGATATCACCAAGGGGAGCACTACTAGAGTGGCCCTGAGGCATCTGCAAAAGAGTCAATCTTGCTTATTGGGTCATACACGGCCTGTAACCATGTACAGAAACCCGCATAACATCTCCACCAGGCTCATTCGAAGCCGTCCCTGAGAAGTTGAGCCGCGAGCGAAACGAGCACCCTCCAAGCATTATTCCACACCGTCCTAGTAGCCACATGTAGGTTCCGTGTCACTATCATCGGTCATTTCGTTCACACTGATGAAGCGCTCTCATCGAGTCAGCGCCTACTGCCTATACCACCCAAAGATCACCACTTTGTCCTGATTGTTATACCCAGGTCACTATTCTTACCAAGGAGCTCCAAACCCCGAAAACGCCGCTCCTTGCCTGTCCCTCGAGTTCTTCTTGTTCAAGACTCAAGAGTAGCCCGCCAGAGCAAGTAGGTAGATTCGCGTCATGTTTACTTGGCACAAGCATCTCGGGCTCGTTGGGGCTACTGTCACCTGCCTGGTTCGTTCTGAGCGTGTCGCTCGGAGACCGACAACTCCTCCTCGTGAGCGACCCAGAGCTAAATCTAGTCTTGGTGTCCACATTTATATAGAGGGTAGCGGCCATGTTGAACAGTAGTGGCTTCGAGCGCACAACGGGTGAGCGGGACAAAGGGGTTGAAAGGCCCAAAAGAAGAGGACCATGCATGTAGAAGCGTTGTCGTGTATATTGCGGTTCTTGCGGAGTCGAGAGGCCCGTAAGTCGCAATACCCCATAAATATTGTCGTCGACATGCTCGTCTGGGACTAGACGACGCCCAGCACAACCAGGATAAGAAAACCTCGTGAAGTGTTAGTAGTACTCACTGGGCCATGAGATAAAAAAGATCCCAGTCGACTGTTTGCCAAATCGCCAACCTCTACTTTCTCTTCGCTGATGTTCCCCTGTAATGCGTATTTTCTGTGATCATTAATGGAACCGGATGAGGCCAGTCCGTCGTCCATCCCAAGCATGGCCCTGTACCCGGAGCCAGAACAAACTTTTACATTTTATGTGTGTACTAAATCATGCCGAAGGAGCAGTAAGAAGAGAGACTTGCTCGGCGTGAGCTAATATTGGAGTGGAAAGAGTTCTGGATGTTGATCTTCTGGACCAAGCCTCGGCGAATAGTGAGCTGCCACGCACATGGTATTAGAGCCCAAATATAAGTACAAGATACCTCGGGTCATAACCGTATTCATCAATGGTTTCATTACCGTCATTTTCATCATCACAGATTCGGTGATCACCATCTAGTAATGGTCAAATTCATAACTCGCAAGGAACTCAGAAGCATTAATCCAGAGACATCAAGACTTCCAAAAAGAAGCGTTCTTTATTTTTATTCATGCATGAGAACTACAATCTGCCATCATCCTAAGAAAACCTCAAAATTCCTCGTATTTAATTGACGAATGCAATGACTTTCCACACCCAGCATGCCGTCACTCCGTTCCGGATTGACATTCTATCGTATCCCACGTGTAATCAAAATGTCATTTGTCTCCTTCCGTATAAAAATATGCCCCAAGAATAGATACATACGCTTAGGCCCCCAGTCCGCAGGACTTATATAGTACAGGCGGGATTGTCATCGACTCTAGGACAGAGTCGATCACGTATTATAATAGAGTCTTTTCCCCAGGGAATTGACGTTTGACAAATACATGAAATGGCTTTGCGAATATTTGATCCAACAAACCTTGAGGTGGGGGCGTAGGATACCAATATCTTGGCTCTTGGGCTATGTCGGAGCGTGATGAAAACCGGTCTTGGGGAGGAGTTGATGAAAAAGTTAAAGACAAGCTTCCACATTGGTCTTGCTCGTATGTTTGTCAACAATCATCGAGGAGAAAGATATATTATTGTTAAATTAAGTCTACCAGCTCTAGTCGTTAGTTTCTTTCCCTTTGCATCAATTCTATCAGTGCCAAGCAGACTTCCAACCCCTTTGATCGCTCTTAACCACTACCCTCGACGCCAATTAGACAACATGTATTTTACCAGATAGTCTTCTTTTTCAGTGAGGCAGCTCCCTACACACATGCCATTAATATGAACAATCGACCAAGGTACCTCCGCAGTAGCGCAAAGTGGAAGCTAATCGCCCAGCCCCCTATCCCGGGCTTGATGGCTTGGTGCGATTGCCATTAAACTTGCCAACCACCTCGCTATGGCGGTTTCAAGGGCAATCCATACATCCACGGTCGTGCTGTTATAGCTTTCTTACCCTCCAAACTTGGCGTTTTAGCCCCTTAGCCTTGATACCTATTATTTATCGGGACACACGCCTCCGTGGCACTCGGGATTTTCGGACCTCTGTGTTCTATTATTGATGCTCCTCTTGTCCTAGATAAAGCCTTGTTCTGCTCCTTCGTATCTCATATCGTTATCGCAATATTACTTTCCTCCCGCCAATTCCTCTCGGCAGCACCTTAGGAAAGAACCAGATATTCGTTTTAAAGCTAACAGAGCAGCTTGTGAATGCGGTGAGGCGAGCCACCCCTTCGCCCCAGAGTCATGGCATAGCATCGGAGTTGTGTCATCCTCGAGTCAATACCGGGCCAGTTCACTACGGTACGGCTTGCGTTTAATCTTCGATCTTCTGGCTGAGTTCCCAGCAAAGGCCGGGCTACAATTATAATAAAGAACAGATTGTCAACACATCATAGCATCATGACCCGATGCTGGCACAGTGGCCGCATTTGATCCTCAGTGAGCTATTCCTCACGCTGCCGTGTGGACCGAGAGGCTGGGAGAGCGGTCAAACGCGGCAATATAAAGACGGAAAGGGAGGTTTCATCAGATCCGGTCACGTGAGGAGATGAATAGAGAAGTGTTGTATAGGGTAGTAATAAATGTCTGCTGAGCGGAGTTATAGCTTAACTTGATTAAAGATTTAATGTACCTTAATCTCTTATATAGAAAGAATGTAAATAGGGGGAAAGGTTTTATTTCTAAAACATATTTTAGAAAATACTATAACTAGCTATAGGTTGCTCCATGCATCTTGCAAGAAGTGTTCAATAGTCACATATTCAATTTCTGGCAAGAGCTTATTCCAATCACCGGAAATATCCCATCCCCCGTCAAGAAGACCAAGAAGAGATAGTCTCGCAAACTCTCTCCCTGCCGCTTCGCGCTGCTCCAGGGGGATTGATGGATGAAGGGTCACTGGGTTCCATGAAGTCACGTAATCATTGGCCTTTAGGTCCTCCAGCTTCACCTTTTCAACAGCGAACTTCTTGCCTATAAACCAATTGTTAGCACAGCATCTTGACCTAGGGCAAAACCGGCCGTCAATTACCTCTAATCTTCTCTCCGAGCTCAAGTAGCTCAGAAATCTTGATCCTGTTACCGGCGATTCCACCCATGATAGGCCATTCGCCCTCATAGTCCAAAGCCTTTGAAACAGTCTTTGCCATGTCTCCAAGGGTAGTGAAGGTTACTGTTGCATCGGGACCTTGTGGGAGGATAGCACGACATTTCTCAAAGTCTAAGAACAACTGAGTATAAGAAACGCCCTTTTCCATTTTCTCAGGTGGTCCAAGGTAGTTCATGAATACCCCGGGGAGAAATAGGCAATACTCCAAAACCTGGATTTTCCACGTTAGAGACATAGTTCAACAAAACGGCATCTCTCTTTTGCCCGGCTTACCTTTCGGTCCTTGTTCAAGTCCTTCAAGTATTCGCGGATCAAGCGCTTCCCTTGATACATGGCAAAGGCATCCACCTTGTAACTTTATGGAATCAGCCATGCACCACCAATAGGGATAACAACGTACAACGCCCACTCGCTCGGCGCGAATCGTTTCACGCCAACTTGGACGCAAGAGTCAATGAGGTTGATCTGAGCATGGTTTTCATGGTCCATCACGACAGTGATGAACGACAGCACCGTGTGCATTCCTCGCAAGGCCCTGACCAGCTGTTGCTTGTCCAGGTAATCCACCTTGATCCAGCTCAAGCCTGCTGGCAAGTCTTTGGGGGCATCCTGACCTGGTAAGTAACAAGCCATGAGGAATATGGTAAAATTTGCCTACTTTGCGGCCAAGAATGGTGATCTCATGATGACCATCACTCAAGAGGGCCTTGATGATCTGTCCCGAGATCTCTGGCAAGTATATGTCAGTAGACTGTCGTTAAGGAGTCGAGACACTAGAATGTCTGGATTACCTCCGTAGCCGGCGACTGCAATCTTGACCATTGCAAGTTGTGTGTTGTGATTTGATGATCGTCGGGGGTGGGTCTGAAAATTTTCGAGAAGGATAAAAGTGACTAGACGATTCTACCCAAACACTTTGGACCTGGCTTTCGTGCCGCGTTCAAAGGGGTTTAAATACTTCTATGTTCAAGTCTATCATAGCTTATCGTCGGAGGGTTGAAGATACCGAAGTATTGGTAATCAATCCAAACACGGATGTTGTAATGTGAACCTGGTGATTCTTGTCGGTGAATATCAAGGTTTGCGCCAAGAGTATTAGCTTGACACTGTCCCTCGCTCATGGCCTGATGCCGCTGAGATAACGTTGTACTGTGGGGTTGATATGCAATGTCCCCTGCAACCTCCGCGTATCCATGCACAGATCTTTACAGCTGCGGAGTAAGACAAGGTAGGTGTGGACCGTTGCGAAAGCCAATAAGGAGCCCAATTATGCCACAGGGTATTATTGGCTGGGAGACAGGGATAATTTTCGGAGTCGGGATGATCTAAGCTGCCGATTGCCTTTGCAAGGCTAAGAGAACGTCATAGGTGCGGATAGTAACAGACCCCATGGATGGGATTGTCTGTTGAGTCAGGACGCTACTTGCTGAAGCAATGTGGTGGGATTTGTAATGTTAACGTTATACGGCACTGACTCGGGGTTGTATTAACCCGGTTCACTTGGTGTCGTGGTTAAATCACGGTTCAATTAGCCAGGCTTGTTCTCATGGCTTGATAAAGGTAGGAGAAAGGGGAAGGGTTTATTCCATCCAGGAACACATTTTTTTCCCCCTCCCACACGCGCTCAATCCCTTCCTAGCAGTCCCCGAAGCAAGCCAGACGTAAGTAATAACCCTAACCTTGAGTTGAGAACTGCAAGATATCAACGTGCACACAAACCATACTCTCACATAGTAAGAGCTAACACACCCAGGTTGCAAGACAACAATATAGCGCACACATACCCCCCATCATTATGCTTATTCTCGTCGCTGGCGTGACCGGGTACTTGGGTAAGCACCTTGCCCAAGTCGGTCTCGAGAAGGGACATCAGATCCGGGGCTTCGGCCGCTCGCCAGGCAAGCTGCCCGCCGAGATTCTTGGAAAGCTGGAATCCTTTGTTGAATGCCAGTCATATGACGAGAGAGAAGCCTTGGACAGAGCAGTAGCCGGGGCAGATGCTGTCATCTGTTGCTACACTTCGCACGCAGACGCCGTCCTCGAGGCCCAGCTTAGCCTCCTGCGTGCCGTGGAGCGAGCCGGAATCAAGGTCTACCACGCCCATTCCTGGAATGCGGACTGGACCAAGATCCATCACGGCGATTTCGAGCATTACGATGCCTACATTGCATTCCGCCGACAGGCCGAGCTGACGTCACCCATCCGGCCTGTATATGTCTTTACCGGGCTAGTTGGTGAATTCGTGCTGAACGACCTCATGGGGGTCGCGCACATTGAAGACGACGCCGATGGAAAGACCCTGAAGTACTGGGGAGACGGAAACGCCAAATGGGACTTTACATATTTCGAGGATGCAGCTCGGTTCAGCATCGACCTTATCTCGACCAACCAATCCGTCCTGGCAGGGGAGGGTGGTTTCTTTAGCATCCGTTCTGCCGAGGTGAGCGCCAAGGATGTCGCAAAGGCCTACGAGACGCGCAGCGGAACAAAGTTGAGGCTGCAGTCGCTTGGGGGCGTCGAGGAACTCAGGACCTTGCTGAAGAATGCGAGGGCTTCCACTGACCCTCGGGCGTACTTCACATTTGCATCCTACTACAGCCAGATTGCAAACACTTTGGGAACGTGGAAGCTTGACAATCCAAAGGAAGTTGGGGCATCAGACGCCATTGATCGTCTTTTCAGCAACCAGATCGAGATCCCGAAAACGTACACTGAGTAGGGAGGTATGTCATGAGTCGTTCACCGGGATTATGTAGTTAAAATAGAACTATTCCGTATACCACTAAGCCAGGAGCTTGAGTAAACCACACAGGAAGAGCGGTAGATGTGCCAATTAGTTTACTTGTTGTTATAAATATATACTTCGTACCCGAAACTGGTGCTACCTTGTATGTGTCGATCTATTAACTTGGAACACCTTTCTGACTTTCTGCTCGCCTGTGCATGAAGGCAAACTATGAGACTTTGACCCCCGATTTTACTTTTACCACGAGGCATGCTACCGGCGTCGATATGCTTCCACTTTGGAAAGAACTCACTTCTCCAGTATGATCCAAATGTCATTTACACGCCATTGAGTACTGACCATGGTTTCCATGCACTATGACAGCCAGTGGCGGCCAATGCAGCTAACAAACAGCTAAAAAGGGAGCTACCTTTAGGTGAGTGGGCTACCGCTCGTATTCTCTTAGAAATCAACATTATAGCTATCTCCGATACTCCGCAAAGGGCCCTACTCATCGAAGAGTCCGAACTACCGCTATCTCCGTGGCCGCGCAAAGTCGGGCATTGCAGAACCCCGACTCGATCTGAATGGATGTTGAGCGATGGATAATGTCTATAAGAAGGCCTTTACGATCCCCTCAGGTTATAAGATAGGCCTACTCTATCATCACCAGTTCCTTCTCAGAAACATCATACACAACCACTTTGTTAAATACTCACCTCTGACCGATTCTTTCCATCATGTCGAGATACCTAGTTCAGCATGCCAGCCCCTCAGGACCTGGTGACAGCCGACCGACCGCACTGCAAATCATCAAGGATGAGGACCTCGTTGGGAAGTTAGCGGGCAAGGTCATCTTCATCACAGGAGGCAACCAAGGCCTGGGTCTCGAGAGCGCTCGCGCTCTGTATGAAACCGGAGCAACAATCTACTTGGGAGTGAGGGACGTTGCAAAGGGTCAAAAGGCGATCGACGACATCCTGTCAACCGCAAGCAAACCAGATCCGAAGTCACTGTTCCTCATCGAGATGTCTCTCGACTCCCTCAACTCGGTCCAAGCCGGTGCAAAGGCGTTCCTGGCCCAGAGCTCCCGGCTCAATATTCTTCTACTCAATGCCGGCGTCATGGCCACACCTGAGGGTCGTACCAAGGACGGATTTGAGACTCAGTTTGGCATCGACCATGTGGGCCACTTTTTGCTTTTCGAACTGCTGAAACCCACCCTCTTGGCCAGCAGCACGCCCGAGTTCAACTCACGCGTGGTGCTACTCTCGTCATTGGCCCACCGTTTCAATGGCCCCAGGTATCACGACCTCAACTTCGATGAAGAGGGCTCGTATGACCCCATGGTTGCTTACGGGCAAGCAAAGACGGCCAACCTGCTCATGTCAAACGAAATCGAACGCCGATACGGAGGCCAGGGTCTTCACAGTCTTGCCGTGCACCCAGGCATTGTCGGCACCAACCTGGGCCAGTATCTGGATCCAAGTGTCATGCAGAGCATGGCCGAAGACAAGAAGAGCTTCAGCTTGATGAAGGATGTTCCACAGGGCGCGGCCACTTCCGTCCTTGCGGCTGTGGGTCGTGAGTGGGAGGGACGCGGAGGCCGCTACCTTGCCGACTGCGCCGAACAGGGCCCCGCGAAGGACGGCGCTTCACCCTGGGACATGTCGGACCAAGGATACGCTCCTTGGGGATTCGATGAAGAGAGCGCAAAGAAGCTGTGGGACGTCTCGACCAAGCTTGTAGAGAGGTGGCTTGCGGCTTAGATGTCACTTGAGGGAGTTTCGCTGGCCGTTGCCGAAAGGAGATGCTATGAGGCACGCATGTGCCTACTGGACATGGAGCTTTACATGACAATCCTTCACCAGAGTCCCAGGAAAAGATGCCTGATTGCGTCTCTCGCATACACTCTTGTCCGTAGTCTATCAGGTAGCTTTAGAGGTGCTATATATTATGTATCGAACTCTTTACAAACCGGACACATGTGTCCTGGGCCACTCCAGCATCGACTTGAACGCTGCATGTGATGCAAGACTCCTTTCAACTTGGTCGAAGACCTGTTCCACCCATCCTCGTGCATACCAAAAGGTCCTGTTAAGTCCAGCAAGATAAACACAGTAGTATGCCACCAGAACCAAGGTATATGGCTTGCGGCAGCCTATGTCTACAAGAATCTTCTCATTCAGGGTCCAAAAAGCGGCAATAACCGTACCACTTTCGGCTTGTGCTCCTGCGAGGGCAACGAGCCGAGCAGAATATTCGAGACTGTTGACTGCGTCTCGATAGTGCGTCAGGCTTTCGGGAGGAACTTCTGTCTCCAGAAAGAAGCGTAACTGTCTTGTTGCGTCCCAGAGGTCGGGAGGGAGAAAAGTGTTATCAAGTGAGGGGTACCTGTATAGAGGATCTGATGTTAGCATGATGCTACATCACTGACGGGTGAAGAAGAAGGCGAGCAAGAAACAAAAGAACAGCAATGGGAAGGGTTAGACCCAGATGCCACAATCTGCCAGACGACCTACTCACCCGCCAGTAACTTCTTTGACCTCCCCTGGCCAGATGCCATATACGAGGGGAGCCAGCTCTGAACGATAGACACGAGGTCTAAGAGGCCCAAGAGTTGTCTTCATGCCCTGTAGAAGAGATACCAGCTCCAGGAAGCCAGAAATAGGGTCCGCAAGCGTCTGGTGGGCTGACCTCAGAGGGAGAGTAAAAGCGTAGAGCACAAGGACTGATGCAAAACTGAACAATGCCAACCAGTTGTGCTCTGTGATATCCTGGAGCTCGCGCCGAAAGAGCTTCAGACCCAACATGGAATGATAGTCGCAAAGCTCCAGGTAACGGTCTTTGTTGCTCTGGCTCTGTGTTAAGTAGACCTTGTGAACAGCAGCAAATGCCTGGATGCCGTGGAAGACGAAGGGGTGTTTGTAACCCTCGCGCGGGACGGCTACACGCCACACGTAAGACACATCCTGCCGCGATGATAGCGTGTCGGCGGTAGCAGTGCACCAGTGGTGCATGAGCTCGAAGCCTTGATACCAGAGTTTATCTGAAGGCAAAGGAGCGACCAAGTCAACAGCGCTGCTATGGCTTGACGATGAATGGGAAAGGAGTGTCGATGATGCTTCCCGGTGATATGGCCCAGGGAGCTTCAGGTCAGGGGGTGCAGTCTGCGATAGGCTGCACGGAATCCCATGTCTGTTGCAGTTGAAGCATGTAGGGCGTACCTCATCACACTGTATTGTTTCTGACATTAGCATCCTGCTGTCGTCATGGGCAGGTCAGATAGCCGCCGGAAGGCTCGGGGCTCAATGCTTGCCTTGACCTTGCGACGCTTGCAATTATCGCAACCATTTCTCGACTTTGTGTGCTGGCGCCGAGTATTCGCTTTGGATATCGCAGAAGACTCCATATCCGCGCATTCGTATAAGGTATTGCAAGATTGGGAAAGGGGTCCGATGGGTCATTGGAACGGTGTCGAGAGTGTGGAGGAAAGCGACTTGAAATTGTCTTGTCTCGGGAACCAAAAGGCCCCGAGAACCCGACAGACGAGACTTAGACTTAAGGTTTAGCTTATTATTAAGGAATAATTGGACGCCCGAGTTTTCGCCCCAGACATGCCCCACATTAAAACCCGCGGGCTCGTTCTCGTTATCGAGAAAATGCGGCTTAGACTGACTGCATGAAGATGTCATCCTTGGCGAGCGTCTCTTCACCCAGAGGCTTGTAGAAAGCAATCAGACAGGTCTATGCTCTTGCATTACTTAACGAGATGAAGATAAAAAGGGCCAACAGCCCCATTCATCTGTCAAGGTCTCTGTAGATTCTGCAGAGGCATCTTCTGTTCGGTGTCCAGAAAAAGCCAATCCCCTTCCTTTCTAGCCTTTGGGCACGATACTATACACATCAAAACAACCATGGCGGATGACGAATGCGACCCTGACTACAAACACGCCGACTTTGCTTACTACCGCTTTGAGCCTTCAGTTGCAGTCAATGCACTATTCCTGGCCCTGTTTGTCCTTTCAACACTACTCCATGGCCTTCAACTATGGAAGTCCCGGACATGGTATCTCTCTGCTCTAGTGTTGGGCGGCTGCTGTATGTGTTCCTTACGACAAGTGGACTCGCTAGCTGACTTTTCCCGCAAGGCGAGGTTGTCGGATACGCAGGCAGACTCATTAACGCGAGGGAGGACCCTGGCTGCTGGAGCCTCGGCCCGTATGTCATGCAAAACTTGCTGATCCTAATTGCCCCGGCCTTGATGGCGGCTTCTATCTACATGATATTGGGCCGAATCATTCTACTTACCGACGGCGAGCACCATGCGCTTATCAAGCGAAGGTGGCTTACGAAAATCTTTGTGGCCGGCGATGTCATTTCGTTGTTGATGCAAGGCTCTGGTATGCTCCAACTTGTCAACAACTATCACACGACACTGACATACCTTTCTAGGTGGTGGCTTGATGGCAGGAGGCGATAACCATGAGACTGGAGAGAAAGTCATTATTGGCGGTCTTTTTGTGCAATTGGCTGTTTTCGGTTTCTTCATGGCCGTCGCTGCCATGTTTCACCTGAGGATGAGGCGTGCTCCAAGTGTCAGAGCGTTGGACCGTTCAGTGCGCTGGCAGATGTATTTAGTGACCCTATACGTGACTGGCATTCTGATATGGGTGCGTAGTCTCTTTAGGGTCATCGAATTCATCCAGGGAAATGACGGCGAGTTGATGAAGAGCGAAGCTTATGTCTTCATCTTTGACAGCCTGCTTATGCTTGCCGCTTTGCTGTGGATGAACTGGTTCCATCCTGGTGAGATCGGTCTGCTCCTTCGCGGTACCCAGCCTGTTAGCAACGGGCTGGTATTGCTAAAGCAGAGAGGTAAAGCGCGGAGAGAGCTCTCTTCAACTCTAGAGAGCATTTCATCCGATACCGCGATGGAGGGTGGTCGACCTGCCTAGATAGCCATAGGGAATACTGTTTGGGCCTTGTCTAGATTTGGGAGCCCTAATCACTTGAAGGGACATTAGAAGGGGGTAACATGACCGGGCTTATATCTGGATCAAGCGGCCGAGTATAATGCATAGACGGGGTCAAGACTCGCACAATCCAAAAGAAGCACTTGTCTTGCCATGGATTGGAATGGCGCCATAGTCGCAGCTAGAGAAGCTCTTCCTTTTGCCATGTATGTAGATGGTGAAGTTGAACAAGGCGATGAGGCCTGTTACACCCACAGTAGTTAGTGACTGGGCACCGAGCACGCTGAAGACGATGGCTGTCATGGCCAAAGATAATGGGGTCTCGTTAATTCCAAAGAATTTTCCCGCCTGGCAACACATCTCGAAAGTGTAGGCGATGATAGGAAGAAGGCTAGCATTGAGGACATCAGCATCAGTTTGACAAAAGGCCCCGGGTGCAATGTGTGCAAAAAGAGGAGGGTTGATCTCCAAGCAATGCCAAGAACATGCTTGACAAAGTACATGCGAATGGTGCTAGCGATCGTCCGGTAGGTAAAGGATTCAGTATGTTACTCCAGTAATACAGCAACCTGCGTTTAACGTCGTGGTCTATTCCTCTACCTGGGTGCAGCATTCGCCAGCGTCATCATCCGCGCCTGCCATGGTACTTATAAGATAGGTTCGCCTTCTGTTGTGCAACTGGGAATGAGAGAAATAGTGTCCAGAGCGAGGAAACAGAGGCGTGGAATGTGCTCGCCGAGTCTCAAGCGATGCACAAGACACACTTTATCGTAATTTAGCAGCCTTCTGAGAGGATGGCTCGCTGCACTAGCCACGGCATGGAACATCATTGGGCAACAAGGGCTGTGGATGACACAAGATAAACAGTAGGTAGGTCGACTTCTCAATTGAAGATCAGGGTAGACAGTATGAAATAGATTCAAAGGTTTTCTTGAACATAAGCTCCCAGCCTCTTTAACCCCTCGACAAGGACATCCGTGTCACCAACATAGCCAATCCTGACATAGCCCTTGAAGTCCTTGTTCCCTCCGAAGCAGTATGACCCGGGGCAGAAATAAACCTGCGTCTTGTTTAGAACGTCCTGGCAGAACTTGAAGTCATCCACGGGTTCGCCGTTTTTGCTAAAGTGGACAAATGCCGTCGTACCCGCCTTGGGCTCGACCCAATGGCATACACTCTTGTGCTGTTGCACGAAATCCTTCAGGATTTTGATGTTTTTTCGTGCCAGCGAGATGTTGCGGTCGACAAGAGGGAGCCGCGTTGCGGGAGACAAGGCGAAGCTTGCGACTTGGTCATCCAGCTGCGAGACGCTGATGGTTGTGTAATCACGCGCCGACGCGATGGCTTCCATGATGTTCTTGTCTCTGCTGGCAATCCACCCAACGCGAATGCCTGCTAGAGCGAAGCCTTTAGACATGGAACCAGTTACAACGGCCCTTTCATAGCCAAGAGTCGTTGCTGGCACAGGTATGTCGATCTGTCCCGACGTCCCGCCGTGGAATAATGGGCGGTAGACTTCATCCGAGAAAAGAATAATATTCTTCTCTTTGGCAAGTGTGGCAATCTCTTCAAGATCGTCGGTAGGAATGAAAATTCCGGTCGGGCTATTTGGGTTATTAATAATGATCATCTAACAGGACTTGTTAGCCTCAAAATTCGAAGAGTAAGAAGACAGACTTCTGGATATCGCACCTTGGTGTTACTCCTGATCAATGACTTGAGGTCCTGGATGTTATACGCGAAGCCTTCTTCCGCACACAACTTCCAGAAGGACACCTCAGCGCCAACTGCTCGAGGGACATCGTAAAGCTGCTGATACGTTGGGTACATGCAGATTACATGGTCACCCGGGTGGACGAGCGTGTAGAGAGCCAGAAAGTTAGCACCGATGGCTCCCTGGGAGATGATGACATCGTCTGCCGACAACTGCGTTGCTTCATAGCTGCAGTGGGCTGCGACAAGCTCGCGAAGCTCCTGGGAACCGGGCACAGGGCCGTATGTGAGTTTCAGCCCTGTGTTAATGGGACTGCGCTGAGGGTCCTTGGAGAGGCGGACGAGGTCATCAATTGAGACAGAGTCGGCGCAGGATTCGGCAATATTGATGACGCCTGGGGTGTTTTCGTACTTGCCCATGTACTGCTCGACGGCGAAGGGGGCGATGCGAACCATGATGAAGTGAGTATTGATGAATGGTAATGATGTTGATGGGTTGGATGAATCGTACCCTACTTGCAAACCAGAGCTATTAATACCGAGAGACAACAATGCCCAAAGTAACTCGTCTATCTCTTCTCCTCAGCTTATCAAGCAGAGGGGTAATTATTAAGCATCCAAGATGGTCGATCAGCAGTTCACAGCCCATCGCCCACCAGCTACCCCCTTTGTGGGAATTACAAGCTCCAACTGCAAGCATCTTCTGTACCTTAGCTTAGCCCGCTAAGCGACTGGAGCTGCGGTATTAAAGCTGACCTTGCCCTATCAAAGGGTCTGGTGTCTGTGGGGTAAACCAGCCATTAACGTAGTTCTGACGCCCTTTACGTGGAGCTAGTCTTGACTTGACAAGCAAAAAGGCGCGCCCTGCTGCTTGTTCTTAACTTGACATACAGCAGGTAAAATAATATCTATACCATTTCGGAGGCAGATATAGCAGATATACTTTAATAGCTAAACATATTGTCAAAAGGATGTTGCAGGGATAATTCGCGATTTACTTTGGTGGCGAGGAGATGCTGTGCAGAGCTAGGTTAACTTTGGAGCGAGAACTCTCGGAGCTCGAGATGAGGCCGGAGTTAGACTGAGTGCCAAGCTTAAGGATGCCGACCAGTAGGGTGAAATGTATATTTAATCCTTTTGCTATTTCCCGTTCCCATGAACCAAACTCCGCGCATTTCGTATCTCCACAAGCCAGATCTCGATCTTCGGGCTCAGTTAACCCATCGAGGGCCTGGCTGCAACTATGATAAAGAACAGATCTTCAACCCATCATAACAGCATGACCCGATGTTAACACAGTGGCCTTTTTGTGAACCTTCTGCTGCAATAGCAGAAGAGTCATACCTGGCCACATCGTCTGGGCATCTCACTAGAGGTTTTGAGCACACTGCACTGGTGTTCAGATGTTGAAAAGTGGACATGTCAGGCGTCTGAGTCGTCACGGAACTCGGGACGTGTACTATGCCTTCATTTCTGCAGCATCCCTGTTTCGCCGGGCTTCCAGATATCCATCAGTCTTGGGGCTGGAGAAGCGGGCGTGTTGTGTCTATTGGTCTGCTGTGAAATGACAGGGGCGGGGGATCTAACAAGCCTATCACGATACGATTTTCAAGGGTGATTTAGAGATCAACACCAACTCTTGATATTATCTTATGTTTGGGATGTCGTTGCCTGCCGTGGCTAATTCTGGGTTTCTAGGCTCCAGCCCATAACAAGTCATCTCCCCCGGTTGGGGGGGGGGGCAATTATGAACAACAGGGAGAATAAAGATATTTGATTTTGGCTCCAGTGGCTGTGAACAACAGGTCAGAGACACTGAACAAGCAGAAGTGAAATATGTGAGAGACAGCACTGCAGGTCGCTCCCGTGACTGGAAACCTGAAGGTCAATTTGGGAACCAAACTTAAGAACAGCTCCCCTCGACAGGTTAAGATTTCAGTTTAATCACAGCCCTAAACCCTCCAAGCTTACTCCACGTCAGTATTTAGAGGATATAGAGCATTATCGAATGGTTTATAGGCATTGAAACCTTAAAAATACGCCTATCTTAACCACAGACTGGGACTGGTGGCTGGTATAAGCTGAGTTGACCAAAGTCAAGATTTGCACCAAAACGATGTAATAACGTACCCAAGACATCATATAGTAGTATTTTGATATCTATAAGCACAATTGGAGTAGAATAGATACGTAAATATAACGTAGGAGGCCTCATCTTAAGTCGAGAATTATACGATATAACCCGGCTTCAGGGGACAGTGGCGAATAACTTACACTATCCCCTGATTGCCATTATACAGTCATGATAGCTCCATATCTACTCCTGAGCATCTTTCACAGCTCCTAGGAGCGCATGTTACCGAAATAACGCATATCTTACGATGAACATTTTGTCCTCAGTCATCTACTACGAGCTGGCGGGAACTGGCCAACAACAAGATTTGTAGAAGATGAATAGTTTTAAAAGAGCATAAAAAGATATAAATCCCCATGTATTCATACTAAGCATTTCATCTAACACATAGGGTCAATAAGTAGTCAAAACGAACGAGGCATTAGGCAATACGGCCCGAACACGAGGTTTCAAATAATGACCACAAAATGCTTTTATAACTAGTGAGATAAATGTCAGAAATAGAAGAGCATTTCTTCATATTTATTAAGCCAATGGCATATATTTAATCGCTACTTCTGGTTTATATCTCAAGTCTCGCTTTGTCATAGTTTCATTCACCAACCTCTCATAAGATACAACGTGCACGGGAGTAGAAACACGTAGCCTCTACAATTCAATCTTCTTTATGGAGAGTGAACGGTTTACGGTCATATAGTGAAGTTGACCATTGCAGTCTCAATACCTCGTTGCTCGACCACCACGCCGGGCCCTCAGCCCATGAATTGCACATTGTAAGATCAGGGGACACAGTCATACTATCCATTCATAGGCGTGTATGAGCTAACATGAAGTATTCTTCAATGTATTCCTCGCAGACATAACCTTCTCATACCCTTCCCTTGTGGAGTCATCGAAATACTGCTTCAGATGGGTACCTATCTATGGACGTTCTGACAAGAGGCCCAAAGAAGACGCCGCAACGAATGCGTTGGGGAGCACACCGTCATCACGTCAAGCGCTGTCAATGGCGGCGACCACACTATCATGTCGGCTTCATGACCTTGAAGCGCAGGCGCGAAACTTGACTCTCGTGAGGCGCAGAGGCCATCCGTTGCAGCAATGCCGTATCTTAATAGTTACTAAAACAACTCAGTAAGTGATGGAAAACTGTAGGTAAGAGTAGCTGGACCGACTCGAAGGTAAATATTGTATCTTATAACCTTTCTAAGACGGTAGTTACCAGCCAAGCTAAATGGGGGGAGGAGGCGAAATCACTTGATGTGACGGGAACAAACTCGGCTCCAGGATCCCACTTTTGATGAATCCAGTGAAGAGAAAAGCATTATATTGATAGATGCGCCCAGCCATCACCCCGGTCAATGAATTGTATGAAGTCATAGCAACAGATGTTTTGTTTGATCCTGTGTACTACAGGCAGCCGTCCGAAGTTGACTGCTAGATAAACGGTACTGACTAAAATTCCGAGCTGGCGGGGCATAAGAAGAGGGTAAATGCTAATAGTTTCATAATTGTATGGAATTAAATATAAAAGTAGTTCTGAGCGTAAACATCTAATCTAAGATCAGTCACGAAAGGGACTATTTCGCCCATGTCACCGAGCCCTCATTTGTTATCGATACTGGTAGTTTCAAAGGAAACTACTTTCCGTAACGTCAAAGAATATAGTAATTAATCCATAATAGCACTCAGCTGCGGCGTTGAAAACACCCTGACCTAGTTTCTATCGAGAGGTACGTGTTGCTACGTCCATCTCCACGCAGCAACGTTGAAGAGGCACACCAGCCGAGTCACAAAGATAAAAATATAACATTGTTAAAATCTAATACCATATAGCTAGTTATAACTAATCAAAACTAATTATAGCTAGATATAACTTATTATAACTAGGTATTATTTATCATAACTAGTTATAACTAGTAATAACTAACCTTGACTGGTTATGACTACTAAGAACGTAAAGCCTTACGAGGCCTTTAGACTGCTTGATATGGAATATGATGCCTGATGCGGACGCAGCATAAGCAGTCAATTTAATTTATTATCACGACTCAATACTCAGTTCATCAAACTGCCTCAAGAAGCTATGCAAGCTGTCCATATAGTCGCTCTCTTCAGATCCCTCCCCCTCTTTTCTTAACAAAGGGCTATTGTCTTGAAGGAGCACGTTTGCTAACCACCAAAATTCATCAGCTTTGCTAAAAAATCCATAGCCTTTATTCCCTGAATCCCCCATTTTTTCGATACTTGAATTCCACAAGTATTTCCATCTGTGGAGGGCTCGTCGCAGTGTCGTCTTGGTCCTCCTAAGAGAGGGGTCGGTATAGCTGCTAAAGATAATCTCATGCAGGCCTGTGCAGAATGGTTAGCTAGTAGAATGCGAAACCCTGAGAATAGGGTGTTGATTTTGGAACAACCAGGATTTGCAATGCGCACCAGATACTAGAATGAACAAGTCTAGGTAACTGAGTTGTCCAAATCGAGAGGGGATATCAGTTGTCCAGACTTCCTGCATAAGGAGAGCAACACCGTCTACTATAGATGGCATCTTGCGAGAAGACGATCTCGGGCTATAGAGAGCTTGAGAGTCGGTGGGCTGGCTGGCAAATAAGTGTTCAGAGCATGGGAATGAGCCAGTCAACTCAGATAACGCAATAAAAGGGCGAGTCCGGTGGAAGACGGCTTGAGAAGAGTCGACGAGGAATATGTAGTTCATGAGCCTGCAAGAATACTTTTGCTCAGAGACAAGGTCGCCAAAGGGCGGGCTGTTAAAGGCGAAAAAGAAGAAGAATTCCAACTCACCTGATGGACTCCTCTGTCCTGATAAATGTCCCCCAGCTCTCACCTCCAGCTGCATCCGATGCTTCGCCATGCAAGCAGCCCCGGTGCCTGAGTGATGGGAGGCCCATGTTCCGTGCTGCCCGAACGATATCAGGATACCTGTACTGGCGGATCTGCCTCCAAGCCGTGCCGTGATTATTCCAGTGCTGCAATAAGACAAGAATGAACGCCGCCTGGAGGGGGGCGGCATCTAGGAACGGCTGCTCCCCGCAGGCCGGGTCAACGAGCTGTAGAAAGTGCTGGTGGCCAAAGATGTACTCCTCTGCGGCATCCAGGCAGACCTGGGCGGCCATGGCAGCCTTCTTAGACGAGAAGGAGGCCCCCATGAGAATGACGGCAGCAGATAGAGGGGGGAAGGCGTGCGCAAGGTCAAATGACGCAGGGTGCAGCATCGGACAGTGAGGGTGCCAGTTGTCGAAGTAGGATTCAACATACGTGCGGGCCCTTTGGGGTGCAAAGACAAACTCGGTTGCCTCGACGAGCATCGAATAGGCCGTGAATGAGAATTTGCCTTTACTGGTTGCGCACAATGCTGAGGAGATGCTGGACAGGTTCGCCTGTAGCTGGTCCAGGCCGCTGTCGGAATCTATGTCGTGATCTATCTCGTGATGAGCCAGGCACTCGCAAGGGTTGCCCAGCCAGTCAGCTACCCAGAAGTCGACGTCGCAAACGAGGTCCAGGTCGCGCGTTTCCTCGGTCGAAGCCCCTCCCATGCCATCCTGCGTAGGGACCCAGGGCTGTAGCATTCCTCTGTCTCGGTCCTGAATCAGGCCCCCGTCGCCCTCGACCACAGGCGCCTCGTGTGACAACGAGGAAGGACAGATGAAGTGGTCTTGGATGTTATCATTTCGCGGATTAATATAGTGCAGTAGGAAAACCACGGTGGTGCTTCCGGATGATTTCTGTTGTGCAGAGTCGTGCGGGAGTTTTATGTCGATAGCACATACTATCAGACCGACGTCTGCTCGAGGATCAAGCTCACTATGCCCCGGCCGGTTAGATTCCATTGCAATAGCAAGGAAGCTTGGGGGCCCGGTGGCTTTGCTTCCCGGTGACAGGCTCTCTGACACTCGATTGTACGTGCAAGGCTGCTTTCGAGCCCAGCAAGACGAACATGGGAGCCGGCCGTCACAACCTATTCTGGACCGGGCACAACAGTCGCAGGCATGGTACCTGCGTCCTGGCTTAGCCGCCACGGGGAGCCGTCTTCCATGCGCCTGGCCGCACGTCTTGGAATGTCTGCGGACAGCATCTCTGAAATGGTTTGTCTCCATGTTAGAAAGGAATCCGCATCCTTTTGACGGATGATTTGGGCCTAACTGCACTCACGATCTAGTGAACTTGTTGTGGCAGAACGGGCAGTTTAACTTGGGCCCCTTGTCCTTGTCTGTATAGTAATTAGGGATGAGTAAGCAAACAGTACCTTTCCTAATTGAATTCACTGGGAAAACCCTGGAGTCTTGCTTACGGCTTCGCTCGTGTCGACGAAGATGTCCCACTTGCGTGTAGCTTCTTGGGCAAACTCGACAGACATAACGTCTTCTGTTCTCACTTTCCATCACGGTGAGGCATGAGGGAAGAGGTGTGTTGGTTTGGTCGTGGTGTCTTGGCCCAGTGAAATGTTAGAATCTTGTTTGAATCTCCATTTCCCCGCGTGATGGCGCCCTGCCACATGCATCGTCATTAGGTAGGGAGGGGGTGGGATTTTTCCGTCCCACCAAGGCGCTTCTAGCCAATCCGGAGGCAAAGATTGATAAGTCTCTTTCATTTGGTGTCTCGGCCGTCTTTTAGCATCCGCATCACATAGTATGCCGTTTAGGTCTGGCTATGGAGTTATTTAAAGGGAGCTATGTCTCGCTCTTGGATTATTGACAATAGGATACTTTAATCTGATGCAATACTAAGAAACATCGAATTTGCCAACAGCACCATGACTGCCACTTTCCAGTATGAAAGGCTCAAGGCGAAATGGCCCATGGCCCTCGACCTGGCTGGTTCAAACCTCCCCTGTCGTATCGAAGGAGAAGTCGGCGACCTTGTCGTCCTCGGCGAGATTCCTTCGGCCATCAATGGCACCTTCTACCGGGTTATGTGTGACCCTTTTGTGCCTCCCGATCCCAACAATGTCCCTATCGACGGAGATGGGAATATCTCGGCCTTCAGAATCCGCAACGGGCGAGTTGACATGAAGATCAAATACGTCGAGACCGAGCGCTACAAGCTCGAGCGGAAGGCCAACAAGGCTCTCTTTGGCCTATACCGCAACCCTTTCACGCATCACCCGTGCGTGCGAGCAGCTGTTGATTCCACGGCCAACACGAGCCTCGTCTACTGGGCGAATCATCTGTTGGCGTTGAAGGAAGTCGCTCTGCCCTACGCCATTGACCCAGATACTCTTGAGACGAGAGGCTACGACCCGTTCGAGGGCCAGGTCAAGTCCAAAACCTTCACAGCCCACCCCAAGGTTGACCCCTTCACGTATGAGCTCGTCGTCTTCGGGTACGAGGCCAAAGGGCTCGCGACGAGAGACATTGTCATCTATGCTCTTGATCGAGATGGAAAGAAGCGTGACGAGCAGTGGATCCAGGCGCCGTGGTGTGCCTTCATCCATGACTGTGCCTTGACGCCCAACTGGATCATCCTCGTCTTGTGGCCCTTCGAGGCAAACATGACCCGGTTGAAGGCCAAGAAGCAGCACTGGGCGTGGGACTACAATCTCCCCGCCACATTCATCGCTGTTCCAAGGCGCAAGTCAACTCCCCTGCCTGACGGCTGGAAAGAGGGGGAGCACAGGGTTTACTCGTGGAGGAACTGCGTGCCCATCCACACTGCGGGTGCGTGGGAGGGTCAGGATGGCAAGCTCTACTTTGAGTCTTCCCGCGTCCACGACAACGCTTTCCCTTTCTTCCCTCCAGATGACGGTAGGATGCCGGCAAAGGATGCAAAGGCTGACTTTGTTCGGTGGGAGATTGACCTCAGCCAGCCGAGCGGGTCAGTGGTCCCGGACCCTCTGGTCGTGCTCGACGTACCCTCTGAGTTCCCGCGCGTTGACGAGCGCTTCCTCACGCACGACCACGAGTTTGTCTTCCTCAACGTCTTCATCCCGGAGAACTCGGACGGCTCGGCAAACATTTTTCACGGTCTCAACGGATTAGCCATGCACAGCCACAAGACGGGACAGACACGCTGGTTCTATGCCGGTGACGACTCTCTGGTACAGGAGCCCGCATTCGTCCCCCGTTCGCCCGACGCCCCTGAGGGCGACGGATGGATCGTAGCCATGGTTGAACGGCGGGCTGCCGGCCGCAGTGAGCTGGTCATCTTGGATACGAGGGAGTTTGAGAAACCCATCGCCATTGCACAGCTCCCACTGCATGTGAAGGCGCAGATCCACGGGAATTGGGTCGAGGCGGCCGCCTTGCCAGAGTGGAAGAGCCTGGTCAGGGAGGTTCCAGTGGATAATGTTAGTAACAAGGGGACACTGGAGCCTCTCGATTGATGGGCACCGGGCGTGTTCTACTTGGGAAAAGTTGTCAATAGCATCCCGCCTTTCCTGTGGAGGAATATTTCGAATTACGGGGGTCAACATGAGCCGACCAGATTGAATATGAATGAAATAGTGTGAACTCCAGCATGTAGATGAATACTGACCATAGTGTTTGAATGCGAGAGTGAATACACCCGAAAGGGGGCTGCAACAAAAGTGGTTTCCTCATGAGTTGACTAATTCAGCATTGGAATAAGTTCAACGCAGTTCTTGACGCTTAATTTAGAGATGTAGGCGTTGGGTCGGATTTGGCTTGCAAGAGGAATTTCAGACTAGATTATAAACAGGATTGAAGAAGGTATCATGACCTTCTTTCCTAGCGGAAGGACGTTGGACATGAGCTTACCCTAGGCTCAGTTATATTGGAGAGTGGACTATGACGTCATCCATCTCTTGGGCATCCGAAGAGCATTTGACTTGATGCCGAGGAGATTGTCGAGGTAGCTAGAGTTGAATGACTTGCTGCGCTTTGTGCGTCTTCTCGTAGCCTTTGTCCTGCTGCTTGACAGCCGAGCAGATTGGTCCCTGTATTGAGGGATGCCATGTGCCACTGACACTGGCTCAAAACAGGATCAGAGCGTTCTTGGCTCAGTATACGCTAGACTTGATGCGTCCCAGGGTTTGTCTCAAACCAAGTGCCGAACAACGAGCCGATGATTACGATCCACCCCCGCATTCCGTTCCAACGGACGACCCCACTGGAGTTTGAGACTCCTCTTTGGTCAGTATCCGAACGACTTTGCCGTGTGGGGATTACCTATGCCCAGTAGAAATCTGAAGCTATTGACACTTTCTACAAACTCTGGATATTTCATGCTTTTGCTTAGTATCTTATCTAACGATAGTAAACTAGTTCATATAAAAGTTCCATTGGGGCAGTCGTAAAGATTGTTGGCTGTCCAACTCGAAACTATCCGAGTCATTCAACCTTGAATCCTGCGCTCACTGGTCTGGGCCGTTGAAGTTGTGGTGCTACTCGAACTTGCGATTTCTCGGAGAGCGACATATTGCCATCCTTTATCTGGCCTTTGGCACGTCTACACTCTCCACCTTCTCCAGATGAGTCATGTTACTCATCTTGATCGCGTCCTCCGCCATAGTAACGGTAGTCGCTGCACTATCCCTATCAAAGATCCAGGCCATGTTCTCTAGAGTATGGCCTCGAGTTTCAGGGTAGTAAAACCAGACCGTCGCGAGCATTGCCACTAAGACAACGATGAAGACGAAATAGTACTTCCACTGAATGGCGTCAAGGGCAATGGGGTTGACGAATGTGTTGAAGAAGACAGCGGCGAGCGTAGTCAGAAACGTAACCGAGAGCCCCTTGGCACGCAAGCTGTAGGGCCATATCTCGACAGGATACGCAACCAAAAGTGGAGTGAGAGCGATGTCGTATCCAAAAAAGTAGCTGTTGATCCCGTGTGAGTAGTTGAAAGACAGTAGCGGGTTTGAGAAGGGGTATCCTTTGTTTTGACATACATGAAAAGAAAAGGGATAACGGCGATACCCGTCGACGAGTCCTGGGTCGCAGAAAATCCTGCCGAAAGACCCGTGATGATGATATAGGATATTAGCATGATGGTTCCCTATCAAGAAGAGTCAGCGACATTGTACAAGGCTGAACAGGTGCATTTTGACTCACAGAGGCCAGAAACAAAGCTCGGCGGCCAACTTTGTCAACGAGTGCTGCAGCGGTAGAGGCCCAGATGAGGTTCCAAAGCTGAAGGCATGCTGAAATCAAGGTCTGGTCTGTGACAGATTTGATCCCCACGGTTTCCTGTCAAAGACTTTGTCAGCACCTATCCTACGGATGCGAGTCGTTGAAGATGGCCGGACCAGGGGCAACATACCAAAACCATGGCCAAATAATAACTGACGACCCCGTTGCCACTCCACTGTGCAAAGATTCCGAGGCTGACACTGATGAACAGACGGTGCCTGTTACCAGGAGTGCTATACAGGTCAGACCACGAGGTGGAGTCGCTGGCTTCCCTTTCGGCCCTGAGCGTCGCCTCGATTTCGGTCATCTCGAACGCGATGAGAGGCGCATTCATGTCTCCCCCGGTATGAATCTTGGCCAGGATCCTTCGTGCTTCTTCCACCCGATCGACAGATATGAGCCATCGTGGGGACTCATCGATCATCAGGAAGCCCGGCAATGCGGCGAGAGGAATGGCAATCTGGAGCAGAGATGGGATCCTCCAGGACCAGTGATCCATGTTCCTTGTGCCAAAAGTCGTCCATGCCGCAACAACAGAGCCTACATACCAGCCACAGTTGTACAGGCTGGAGGCAACGCCGCGCTGAGGAGGGTAGGCATTCTCGGCGATGAGAAGCGGGACCGAAAGGAAGAATCCCGAAGCAGAGCCTAGGAACAATCGAGCCAATACAAAGGCAACGTCGCCATTAGCTGCCGTTTGTAAGGCGGTTCCAAGAACGAGAAAGGCGTATCCAATCCAGATACCGAGCTTTCGACCGTATTTATTACAGATCCATGCCGCGGTGGGGTAGACGATGACGCTGCCGAGCGAATAGACAGCATTGATGAATCCCAGCCACGCACCGGTTGGATTATCCATGAAGCCATGCCACTGGGGCAAGGCTAACAACCCATTCATCAAGCTCCCGTCGTATCCATTAGATGAAGAAAACATGATGAGCGAAAGAATGCAAAAGTTGAGTTTGAGGAGATGCTTCTGCTTATACCATGGCCCGTTGTTGGGCAAGACAGCAGCCAGTTCTTCACCGACCGCATTTGCCTTTGCAGACTTTTCGCCAGAGTTGTCTTTGGCCATGGTCATCAGTTTGGCTTGTTGCTAGTTGTGAGTGCGAGAGTAAGTCACAGCACGGCTGAGGGGAGTCTGCTTACTGGAGTCGAAGGGAGGCGGGACTATCGCAACTTATACTAGATGATTTTGGTCTCTGATCTTAATGCCAATGGTATAGGCATAATGGCAACCAACCAACAACTCCTGTCGCTTGCCAGA